AGGGCAGGGCAGGGCAGGGCAGGCCTTGCCGGCCAGGCAAGGCAAGAAGCAAGCAAGCCAGCGAGCGAGAGAGCAAGCAATAACAGAGAGAGAGAGAGAGGTGCGCGTCCGCGCGCGGGGGGTCGGGCCTGAACGCTCCCCGGCTGCTGTTTTCCCCGGAGAGAGAAATCAACCCCTGTCCCCAAACGCCCCGCAAGCAAGCAAGAGAGAGAGAGAGAGAGAGCGACAAGTACTGTGGTACGTATAGCTCTCCCCGAAAGCCCCAGAACGATGGGGGGCCCTACGGGCCGGGGAGCCTGACAAGCTCCTCAAACCCGAAGGAAGAAGAGCGACAAGAGAGAGCGAGAGAGTTTGGCTCAAGTACTTCAGTACTTCGGTCTTTCGGGCTTGCAGGGCGCGGCCCAGATGGTGGCTCCCACAACCGAGATTCGCCGGGGTGGCACTCGCCTTTTTGAAAAGCCCGGAGACAACAAAGCCGATGCCGGCGACTACAGGGACAAAATTCTCCCATACTTCCGAAAAGGAAAACACAGCCGAAACGGATGACGCACTGGTAAGCAACGAAGCAACCGAGTTCGACCACACGATCTGCCGGAGCCCAGCCACGGCACCCACCGACGAGGTCTACTACCAAGGGGCGCACTTCTTCCACTACAGGGGGACTACGGACTGCGAGGCACTAGACAACACATGCGACAGGCCAGGCATCTTCGAGCAACAACCGAGTGCGCACAACACAAACTCTTCTGAAGAAGGAGGCAGGAGGAAACCGAGGACAACGGTAACAACTATAGCAACAACAAATGAAAACTGGCATTTAAACAGCGGGGGCATCGAGATGAGAACTGACTGCGACAAAGACAACAGCAACTACTGCAAGGACCTGCCTTCAAACGGTGAGCGCACCCAGAAGAAGCTCCCTCGTGCTCAGAGGACAGATCGTCCTGCCGAGACGACAAGACCACCAGCACCGCAGCCGAGGGGAGGACCCTGAACCAGAAACGCTTGCAGTGACGGGGGGATTATCGTGAACTTTTAACGGTCTTGTTTTGTGGGCCTGGGGGACTCAACGTCAACTTTTCCTCTCCACCTGGCCGTGACGTTTTCGTTACAAATCTGACTCCCTCCATTTCCTTGTCAAGCCGGAGCTTAGGGCGACGCTCCTTTGCTTCCTTTTCATTCAGGACCGTAGAGAGACACTCTTACCAGTCAGTCAGTGGTCTGGTGCTGTGGTGTGGGGCACTAACGGTTTCCACGCTCTAAGGTTGTGCTTGAGGTCGGTATTGGCGTAGTTGCCTCAAGTCCGTGCAGGGGACAGTTGTTTGTCAGTAGATACAGATACTCAGTAGATGATGCTTCTTTGTCAGACATTACGTGAAATGTCTGGCAAGAGTTCTGAAGCCTGGATTACAAGCCCATATCAGGGAAGAAGGGTGTGAGACCTGAGCTGTGTGTCCTTTACGTGTTTGTGCTTAAGGGTTCGCAGGAGCGTTCGGATCATTTTTGTGCATCTTTGTTTCGTTAGTCTTGGGTAAAGGCCTTGAAGGTATGCTGTAGGCGACCATGAAATCCACAACAGCATGGCAGCATGCCTCGACATCATTCAAATTTGTTCCACGAATCAGCTGGAAGCGGTGCTCCTGAACCTCTCTCTTTGTGTTCAGGGTGAGGGGCTGTAAACTGAATCTGAGGGGACTGGAAGAAGTGAATTCAGCTGTGGGAGGGACAGAGCCGGAAGAAAGGAGACGATGGGTAGCACAGGAGCAAGGCCGGTTGGGGGTATGGGTTGTCGTCCGGGGCAGTCCTCCTGGAGAAGAAGATGAGAGAGCCCAAGACGACTTGCAAGATGGAACTTGCTCGCAGGCGTGGTCACGTCATTCGAGACCTGCCAAAACCAGGTAGCCCAATGTACTCGGTCGGGCTCCCGATGTGTCTGCCGCTGTTGATGCTGCTGGTGGGTTCAATAACTGGTGATTAGGATAGATCGATAAGAGTTGATGATAATTAGCAGTGAGACGCCGCATCGACACGCTGTTCCCATTTGCTCTAAGACTCTCATCTATCCCACAAGACAATTCCGAGGCATGGCCGCTTTGCTTTGCCCTCAGGTGCACGCATACTTGCCCGCCATGGAGTCTTTCGGCTTCGAGACGGATCTCAGAACGCACACGTCCGGACAGGTGGGGTGATCGGGAAGAGGGCGAGACTCTAGGGCTTCAGGGGGCTATGGGCTGAAGTTCAGGCAACGGCAATCCACTGCCAGGCAATGTGCCAGACCTTCTTCGATCACTGGGAGCATGTTCCTGGCGATCCGCTGGATCGGTCCATCCTGCTGCCAGCTCCCCGGACTCGCTCGCATCTCCATGCTACGACGTACTGTGCTTAGGCGCCCGCTGGAGCCGGCACCTGCGCCGCACCTGGCGCGCGAGTTCATGCTCAAGATGAGGCGGCGAAAGGGCCTCAGCGAGGACACTTACAAGAGCCGTTGACATCGTTGACATCTAGAATCTGGAAATGCGAAACCGCTGAACGGCAGACTATTCCTGGCCAGGACGTGTCGGTTCACAAGTTCTTTGATGATCCGATGCTTCTGGAGCTCGCGAAGCAGGACCCCTGCACCCAAGAGCTGTCACCACATGTCAGGAAGCCTGTTGTTGGAGACAAGTCGACGGTATCCGCTGCAAAAACACACAGGATGCCGAGCTCAGCTCCTACTTCTGAGCGCTTTCGTGAGCGCGGCCTAGCGAATGTCCCGACACACACCACCACGAGACAATCCGCTGTGTGTGCGTGTGTACGTCTATATTACAAACCTGCAATCACGAGCCGGCTCCGACAGGAGAGGGCCAGAACAAGACTCTGTCTGCAACACAGCACGGCCGGCCGGGCACGGCGCGCATCTCCGCTTTCGTTAGTTCTTTGTGTATGCAAGGAGTCTCAGTGCCGTGCGCCATCCTCTTTGACACAACTTACAGAAGTCAAGCCCAGAAGCCCTAGAACAACAGTGTCCCGTGGGTTCGGGGTGCGTACTGACCGGGGCTTTGCCTGGTGCAGTGATGCGACGACGGTACCCGGTCCGTTAAGAAACATGGTAAGCGCGCACTGGCACTGCAGAATGCGCTTTTCTTTTCGGACTTCTGCTATACTTAGAGTGGTCCTGTCCTTTCCAGGCAGCGGGGCTCAAGGTCAGTGGTGGTAGTCAGTGATGACCACGCTGCTTATCACGCTTCTGCTCGCGGGTGTGTCTGGGCAACCGGATGTGGTGCCATTGCAGCATCATCCGCGGTATCCAGGAAGCCTGGACTCGACTGCCCTCGGCAATCTGAAGCAGAAGAGCGTCTTGGACCAGGAGCTTGACTTGAGCATCACGCGTGCCCATGCGCTGGTGGCCGAGCTCTTCGTGGGAACGCCGCCGCAGAAGATGACCTGTTTGCTGGACACGGGCAGCTCTGACCTTTGGATCCCTTCCAAGCACTGCCAAAGCTGCGAGAATCAGCACCTCTTCCATGCCGACAGGTCCTCAACCTTCGTGCCCGAGCTGCACGAGACTGCACGGGGCCGGCGCCCTTTAGCAGTGCGTATCAGCTATGGAAGCGGCCAGATCACTGGCTACAAGGTGCAAGACACGATCAGCTTCGGAGGACGGGCAGTGCAAGAGTAACTGGCTTTCCAAGAGAGCAGTGTAGAGTTTTCTGCCAGGGCGCACGGTCCGCAACCAGACGTTTATCATCGTGGAAGATGCCCTCCTTCCTCCAGACCGAGACTGGGACGGAATCTGCGGTCTGGGCTGGGAGACTATCTCGCAGCTGGGCCATCCACTGTATACCAGGTTCCAGGAGATGGGTTTCAAGGCCGGCCAAGCACGTCGTCAAAGCCTTCCAGAAGCTTCAGCATGCTTCGGCTTCATGTTGATTGTTGCTTCTGGGGTTCTTGCTCGCCAGGCGATGTTCACCTTCGTGCCGCAGGGCAGCCGCTCTGCGCATCTCTCGGTGGGCCCCTTTCCCCAGCACGCAGTCAAGCCTGGCACCACGGTCTGGGCGGATGCCGAAGCCGCAGGTATTCACGGAGGCGCAAAGGAAAGAGCCCCAAAAACATCAAAAACCCGCCATACCCCTCAGCCCGAAACTGAAAGAAGCATAGTAATGAACATTCATCCTTGCAGTGTGAGCCACTCTTTGCATGTCTTTGCCGTGGAGGGCAGCGGAGCTTCTGGGTAACCACCGGCGGCATCGCAGTGCACAAGCAGACGCCTCATCCGGCCCGCTTCCTCGTGGACACAGGCCTTACTTGCTTGCATTTTGGCACCTAGCTCATCCCATCTTCCGGTCCTTCCGTTACGGCGTTGCTGCAGGTTGTTGTTGACACTGTTGTTTCCAGGCACCAACCAAGTGCTGCTAGCCCCGCGACACCTCTACATCAGCATCATGCGGTCGGTGCTGCCGAAGGATAAGCTCCTTGCCTTAGACTTGCAGCTTTTCTTCCTTCCTTAGTCAGGGCCGTGCGTGGGTCGACGGGACAGCGCGGACCGTGCACCTGCTTCATTATTCAACGTCGGTTTTCAGGTCCCGGCTTGACCTTGTCATCTTCAGTGGGATGCATATCGACATGATCCACAGTTGATCCGAAATGACAATCGGCAGTCGAGGTTCAATGATCTCTGTGGCATTGACCACATGAAAGGCGGCGTTGTCTTTTGTGACTGCTCGATTGTGGAAGCCTCGCGAGACCTCGCGCCTCTCCGCATCTTCATCGCAGAGCACCCATTCGAGTTGCCGGTTGAAGAAATGTTTATCCGGGTGCCAGCCAAGAATGGCTTTGGAGAGGCTTGCATGTTGGCCATTCAGCCGAACAACATGGAGATCGGGAACGGCTTGGGCCCGGGCGTACCTCTTCCGCTGCCTTTCGGAGGCCTCGGAGGCGAGCCTGTGAGGGGGGGGGGCGGTTTCTTTTGAGAGTCGTTGTCGTGTCTTCTGCCAATGACAGGGCTACTTCGAGAACTGCCGAAGCTGGATGGCTTTCCTTTTCCCTTCCCGAAGCTTGGGCCTCTGTTTGGCGAAACCGAGGAGCCCAGCTCGGGTTCGCCCGCGCCGGCTGCATCCCCCCCTGAAAAAGGGCTCGGCATGCCTCTCTTCGGGGAGGGCACAGCAGGCAAGGGCGCGCTGCCCCTGCCCAAGATCCTCCCTCTCTTCGGCGAGAAGGGCTCCGGAAACTCGATGCCTTCAGTCGGAGGCCTTCACATCGGACCCCTCGGTAAAGGGGTCTTGTCAGAGCAGGTTCAGGAGCAAATCCACACTCGTCCGGATGGGACGGTGTGCAAAACTACTATCGTCGTCGTCAACGGCAAGGAGAAAAGTCGCGCCTTGGAGGCAGTGGTCAGCAGTTTGACCTTTCCAGCCTTTGGGTTCCCACTGAGCATCTCTAGTGTCAGTGGATTTCCCGTGCAAGGGAAGAAAGGTGAGAAACCGCGCGCGAACTGTGATTGTTCCATCATAGTGAATTATTAAATATTACGTATGTATACAGGGCCCTTGAGTCTACAGTTTAGCTTCGCAGTCAAAGAATGCAAGCCGACCAAATTGAAACTGGTACTGGAGAGCAGGTACCCCGGTGGGCCAGCTAAGTTGACAGTTGACGGTGGAGGATTTATCATAGACCTCCTGCTTTGCAAGTTTGAATCAGCAAGTCGATGTGAACAGGGGCGACTTCCCAGCCGTGGCAAGCACTCTGAACAATCCGGCATAGGCATCAACAACAATTGATAAGCATCTAAAAAAATTGATAAGCATCCTAAAAAATGCCTATCAATTTTGTTGATGGCTACCGCCTACGCCCTAAACCCTCCAAGCAAATTTGTTTTTGATGTTTATCATTTTTTTTGATGGCTACCGTGGTAATTCATTTAGATGCTTATCATTTTTTGATGCGTCACCCGAACAATCCGGTAGGGACGTGTCGACTAATGTTATTGACAGCACGAACACGATTACCTACATAGATGTAAGTCTGGAAGGAACATTCGGATCTTATCGATCAGGGAGAGGAGAGACAACTAAGGTCAGTTGTTACACGAAGCAAACAAGGAACTCGAGTTGGCTCTCAGGGGCGAGACATTGAGCAAAGCTACCATAATGAAACTGTCAAGTTTGAGAATCTCGGCGCCCTCACGGCTTCGGACGCAAGCTTAGTGAGTCAGGGTTCATTCCTGGCTCCGAGCGACCGTGTCCGCACCCCGCCAAAATCGATTCGGACCCATGGATGGAGCGGGAGAAGCGCGCACGCTCCCACAGCCCCCCTTGGTCACAGACTGCAGCAGTTCGGCCGATCACTTAAATGCCGACACCCCTGCTACTTGATAGAGTCCAGGATCGTTTACAGATCGAGCTCAGTGCTCGGCGACAGTCGATGTTTAGGGACGACGGGGGTCGTACGCCGACCGGGTAGACACAGCGACTCAAGCACCGATTGTTTCACAAAAAGCATGAAACCTGATTTCGTAAGCAAGGTCATCCAGTCAGGATTGTACAGGATCAGTCGTGCGAAACTGAGCGCATAGTAGCGCATGGAGAGCCAACACCGCACGTGCACGTGGGCAGCATTTTCCGAGTGCTGACCGCAGCGGTTGAGCAGGCCGCCGACGCCACTCACGAGTAACACTACCCCTAGTGGAGTACAGTCTTCTCGTACAAGAGAACAGGTTGACTGTGAAACCAAACCTTTCTTTGCAGCGCATGTTAGCCAAGCAGCGAAATGTGATTGCAACCACGAACCCAAACCCAAAAATACTCAGATCCTACAACCTTTCAGCCTTAAGCCCTAACCGAACTTAAGCACTAAAAGTGTCCTGCACGTCTTGTGAGGAACGGAAGACTGCTCGAAGCCTCGAGCAGACATGGCCGACGAGGTCAGGCGGCTGCAGCTGGTGGTTCCCATGGTTCTTCGGCTGGAATTCGATCATCTGTGTGCATGTATACATATTGGACATGGCTTTGTGTGTATGGTACACATGCATAGTCGATCCGTTATTCAGTGTGGTGAGTTCAGTGTTGACCTTGTGGCAAAGCCCAACCCGAAAGTCAAAGATCCCAAGGGCGGCATTCTGGAGCTGCCGCTGGATCCATCGGGTGATGTGAGTGACCAAGATGAGGGCCCCGATGCTCGGCCTGAACTTTCTTCAGATGTAGGCTTCGCTGTCAAGGTTCGAAACACTCTTTCGCCCTGAGCGCCCTTTTAGCTCCTGAGGGGCTGAACCTCGAAACCCGCCCCCGCGGGCCTCAAAGCTTCCCTGGCCGAGGAAATGTGGGTTTTAGGCGGCATGTTTCTGCAGCGGTTCGTCGTGTCCTTCGACTTCGACCAGGCACTGCAAAGTGCGTTTCGATGGTCCGAGCTTCCGTTGCACGTGGCTTATCGGGGCAACCGTGTGTGTGTGAAGCCCTGTCGCAAATTCAAAAAGCAGGGCGCCAGCAGGCCTTGCAGCATGCACTGGCTAACAGATACCATGCGCAACAATCTGGGAGGCCAAAGTTAGGAACCTGCAGAGTGTTCGTGACATCTTGAGCAGTATGTCTTGAACAGTATAGGCTGTGCTTGGGCTATCATGAAACACTGAAGCAAGGAGTCATCTATATCTGCGATGTAAGTGAAGCAGAGAAGGCACATGCGACGACAGATGAACAACACAGATGTTTCTCGCTTACTAACCCCTGTGGTAGCTTCGGTTATCTCGAGGCTCGTTCCAAGTGTGTGTGCAGTATGTGTGTGTGTGTGAGGTTAGAATCCATGTATTGCAGATGACGTTGCACTTTACAGCGGGATTTCGTTTCACGAGACAGGTGGGTGTGGAGCGGTGTAAGATCGCGATTCGGTCTAACGCTTCCAGAGTAGCTCCAGCTTCAACATTGTGTTTGTCCTGTCCCGCCATTCTCTTCCGACACCCACCCAAACAACAGACAAACGCCCGATAATTGCAGTACTAGTATCACCAGTCATGAGTCTTGCGAAGAGACCTCAAAGCCTCGTACATTTCTAGGCATCGTACCCTGAGCTATGTTACAATGTATATATATATATGTATATATATGAGAGCTTGCGCAGTCGTGAACTACCAAGCGGGAGCCGGGCTTGGGAAGTCATGAACTACCAAGTGAAGCCCCAAAGTTCATGTCTTTCAGTCCGTCAAGCTCATAAGCCGGCATTGTTTGGCTCAAGTGACTGAGCACGACTTAGCGATCCTCCAGCCACAGCAACGTGCGTGTAACCCTTTTGCACAGAGAACACAGCTGACCCGAAGCCAGTGAGCGAAAAGAGGATCTGCGTTTGCCTGCAAGGGATGCCGTTGTTATATCTGCAGAGGGCACTACAACTACTTATGCAAGAACATTGCTCTTCTGAGGGGAGCATCTTACAACAACGCCGTACACCAACCCTCACGCAGGTTATCAGCCGTAGGCTCTGCCTACGCAAGGAGTTTGACACCGAACAAACACATCAATTATGGCATCTGGATCAAGTGCAGATACGACAATGACCTTTGGTGGTGGCGAAGTTGCGATGCCAGCGGCAGGTGAGTCTACCGCTGAAGATGCATTGACCATTTCCGTGGATTCCGCAACTACAGAAGACAAGAAACCGGAACCATCGGCATCATCTTCGAATTCTCGCCCGAGACCAAGATCAAGTTCGGCACCAAAGACTATGTCGCAAACGCGATCGTCGTCTATGGGTACCAGAACGAGAACGAGCGAGTCCGTCGAAGACGGTGATGCAATGTCTGCAAACGAACAAGAAAGGAAAGGACCGTGAACTTCCCGTGTTGAGTCTTACAGGTCAACCTCAACGTCAACCACAAGCCGTCAACAATCAAATCATCGAGCAGCTGATGCATGCCGAAGAGCAGATGAGGATATTTCGCCAAGAAGAACTTTACGGCGTGAGGCGATCGTGCTGAACTTGACTGCTAAATTGGATGAGTTGATGCAAGAGGACCAAGGATCAACGATGAGGATCGAAGAGTTGGAACGTCAGCGTGACCTACTACGTTCTGCAGTTGGACATGTGCATCAAGTACATCAGAATTCCACCGCTTTACACGATGAGTTGGGTGAACTACGTCAGCGTCTGAGGCAGCAAGAAGAACTACAAGTACGCTGTCAACAGGCGTGGAAACAAGAGCTTGAGGCTGCGCGTGGGCAACATCATGAAGTTTCTCAACAGTCATCCAGTGTGCCAATCTCATCGAAGTTCTGATGCGGGATGGGAGTATGTAAGTAGCCAAGTCAGTAGTCAGAAGGGATTGTCTTTTCCAGTAGGAACTGAAGTGCGATCCCCTGATCTTGGTACCCCTACACAATACAGTACTGTGAACAGAAGCAAAGTCATTACTGAAACGCAGCCTCATCGTTGCCATCGCGTATGGAGTCAGCTTCGAATCCTAGACAAGCCAGGATGGATCGTGTTAACGCCGAGACCAATGCGGACTCATTGGTCAATCGAGCAAACGCAATGCGGGATGACCAGCTTCGTGATCTTCTTACAATACGAGGTATGTGGGGGCGATCTTCGTCTTCCTCATCTACGGCACGACCATTCAAGAACATTTTCAAGGAGAGTGACGACGGTGGAGCCGACAAATTGATTGCAGAGCTGATTGATCGTGATGTGAAAGCCTCCGATGAAGGACAGGAGCAAGAAAGATCTACATCTCAGGCAGGACCTTTGACGCGACCAACAACGTCTTCTACGAGTGACAACGAATGTTTGGCGAGAATGGAAGCTGACTACGCTTCACAAATAGCGGAACTTCGTTCTGAACTGCGCCAGGCCAAACGAACTGAAGATCGCTTGCGTGATGATCGTGACAATTGGCGACAAGCTGCTGAACATTTCCATCAGGACAGCCAACAGGACGGTGGTGATGATGAAGAAGCACATGGGGGGATAACTGAGCCTACTTTTCGGCTTGCTGTTGCGCCGGGGGGGTGGGTGGGTGGGGGGGGGTGGGTTAATAACGTTCTTTGTTTCAGCATTGTTTCAAGATCTACATTGCTAA